TTCCGAAGACATGAATGCTATTGATTACCCAAGTCCTGCCTTCCTTCTGTCCTGTAATCCTTTTGCTGGTGGGGATTTGAGGGGAAGATTTTGTAGCAAACATGTGTTTGCACATACACAGGCATAAACATAAAACAGTAGAGGTTTAAGAAAGCACTGTTGCCCAAAGCAAGTGAAGTTCAGTTATTTGTCATCAAGGTAATATTAACAATAAGAACATACTTAGTTGAGACAATGGAGGAAAGAGTCCCTGCCTCACAGGCAGGGTTCCCAGCCCTCTGTGCCTGTGGTGTCCTGCCCAGCAGCTCTGCATCCCGTGCGGGTCTTGCTGCAGTAGGCTGGGGACCTGCTCTCAGCTGCCCACCTCCACCTTTGTGTCACCACCACCTCCCTCTCATGGGGATTTAATGGACTTAAATACTGCAGAATTTCCATGGAGAAACACCAAGGTTCAGATCTTTCATGCCACTTTGCGATGAAGATTTTCCATTCCCCAAGATAACTCCAGAATATTGCACTCAATTCTTCCCTCCAGCTTCCAGCACTGGGCAAGTCCTGGTCATTATCCCAGCCCTCGCCTCCATCCTGTCAGGGAACTGGGGGGGGGAGGATGAAGGGCTCTCATGCTCTCCATCCCTTTCCACCTCCCTATTTGTGGTCCCTTGGGGCCTCATGGCATCTGCCCATCTTCTCTTTCCCCATATTTCTATTTGTCAAGGAACAACTCGGAGACGCAATGCAGCAGTTGTACGCCATGAGCCAAAGGAGGTGGCTAGGACAGAGATTGGAGGGAGATATGGAAGCAGGTCCCAATACCAGAGGCTACCTCCAGACCTTGCGTCACAGCCCAGGTACTGTGGTTTTCTGATGGGCTGAACAAAGCCACGGTGGTGTTGCGATCTTGTCATGATCTACCATAGACAATCCAAACAGCATCGCCCACCGCCCCATCTTGCTTCTGTCGATATCTGTAAGCTTGGTACTGATTTCTAATCTGCGTTTCCAGCAGACAAAGCAAACACACCAGGCAGGGCATAGAGGGGAATGGCCAGGAGCAAGCAGTTGATAACAGTTCATGATAACAGTCCCGCTTGTCATTATGAATCACAAGGATGCAACAGCACTTACATAGAGTCCCAATGACTGTAATTTATCTCAGTCCAGTGACATCTTCCAGAACCCCCAGAGCAGAGGTGGGATGCAGCAGAAACAGAGATACACCACTGCGGTGGGGTCCGGGGCCATTTCCAAAGCTGAGGCTGCTGGCAAAAGACACATGAGGAAAGCAAGAGCCAGCTTAGAACACGATGACTTCTTGCTCCTTTAATTTGTAATCGCTGCTCAGCAACATTGGATAAATGGATGTGGAAGCTGGGTCAAGTAATTATTGCAGGTTCATATCTGCATGCTGCACAGTTCTTGGGGCAGTAACAGGGCTGATCACTGTAAATAACACACAGCCAGAGCACGGGGACTCTTGCCTCATGCTGAGATGAAAGTGAGGACATAAGCTGCTGTGCCAAAAAGAAAACAGCTGAATGTTTATGACCAATGGTTGCTTCCAAATGCACTGGCTGCATTCTTCTTTGTAGGGCTTTTCCCTCTTTCTTCCTATTTACATGACCAGCATATCACTACAGCAGAAATGGCATCACATACCTGACAGAGTGAAAAATGGCCACAGGAAGCAAGAGGCAGAGCAAACAAGGAATGATGGCTTCACTTTGGCAACAGGGCAGCTAGAGAAATGAGAGCAGGAAACAAATGAGCAACTCTGAGCAGACATCAAAGGGGAGAAAATGAGGAATGCTCAGCAGAGTCCATGGGAAGCCACGGTGCAAGTGATCAATATGGAGCCAGCATGAGCTTGGAGAAGCAGACAGGAAAGCACAAAGCTGCTGTCTGAGAAACACTTGGAAAGTCCTTTTCACCTGCCCCTCCTTATCAGGGTGAGAAATGGCAGCACCTTCCTTGTGCATCTCAGCTCCTGGGCTTTTCCTCCTTCTGAACACCAATGCAGGAGCTTGAAATTCTACCTGCTCACTGGATCCCAGGAACTGCACAAACCCGCTGGGGATGGAAATAACCCCTCCATGTCCCTGCCCTTAGCTGGGCCTGCAACGGATTTGGCTTTGCAAGGCTCAATCTGATAAACCCCACTCAAATCTCTTCTGTACCTACCCTAGCTGTTGGCTAATGGGCAGGCATGTAGGGAGCAGTGCCTCGTGTGTCCCCATGGTTGCCTATGAGACACCACAGCTCAGGATCAGCAGTCCTGGACTGTGGAGTCACCCAGGTACCCACAGAGGGATAAAATAAGCATGGCAGCAATAGGTCCCTGCTGCCATCACCACTCACACCATATCCCTTTAATCTGCACAAGACTCAGATTAACAGCATGGCTCAGCAAAATTGGCTCCTCACAAAGGGGGAAGGCAGCCTTGTGTCCAGGTATACAGCCCTCAAGTGGGGGACAGACAGCCCTGGGGTGCTTTCAGTACTTCTGCCATCTCCCCACCATGGAAACGGGTGTGGCCAAGAGCGGTGGCAAGTGCATTATGTGGTTTGGATATTCCAGAAAATAGCCTCGATTGCTGGAGTAGAGGGACCACTTCCCAGCACTCTGGATGTGTGTAACAAGCAGCCAGAGGAGAGAGCACCAGTGAATCCCCCCTCTACTCCACTCTTGTGAGACATCACCTGCTGGAGCACTGCGTCCACTGCCAAGGTCCCCAGCACAAGAGGGATGTTGACCTGTTCAGGCAAGTACAGAGGAGGCCATGAAGATGCTCCGAGGGCTGGAGCACATCTGCTATGGACACAGACTGTAAGAGCTGGGCTTGTTGAAACTGGAGGAAAAGAAGGCTCCAACTAGACCTTAGAGCAGCTTCCAGTGCCTAAAAGGGCCAACAAGAAAGCTGGAGAGGGGCTTTTAACAAGGGCCTGTAAGGACAGAACAAGGGGGAATGGCTTTAAACTGACAGAGAGATTTAGATCAGATATTAGGAAGAAGTTCTTCCCTGTGAGGGCGGGGAGGCACTGGCACAGGTTTCCCAGAGAAGCTGCGGCTGCTCCATCCCTGGCAGTGTTCAAGGCCAGGCTGGACGGAGCTTGGATCAACCTGGTCGCGTGGAAGGTGTCCCTGCCCATGGCAGGGGGTTGGAACTGGGTGAGCTTGAAGGTTCTTTCCAACACATTCTATGATTCTGTGACTGTCCCATTTTTTCCGTACATTTCCAGCCCCAAGCAAATCACTTCACCTCCTGGATGATCCTGGAGATCATCCCCACCAGTGGGGACCATCACACACTGTCAGGGCTGTGAGGGCTTATGAGCCTCACCAGGCGCTCTCCCACCCCTCTGCCCAGAGTCCCAAGGCTCCAGCTGAGCTCAGGTCTTGGCCCTTGGCCCCAGACTGGTCAAACCCTCAATGACAGGGGCCTGTCAGCATCCAGCCCTCCCCCTCTCACAATTACTGGGCAGTTGCTGTGCCCAGTCTCCCCAGCTTTGCCACCAATCTCCCTGTGTCACCCCATGCTGTTGGAGCATCAGGATCCCAAAGGCAGTCTCCCTGCACCCTCAGTAACTACCTGTGAATGGTGGCAAGGGCTCATCCTTTCCTTTGGGTCCCATGCCCCACTCACAGGATCACAAGCCAACCTTTTCAGGCCCTTCCTGCTCCCACAGCAGCTTCACAGAGGATCTGCAGCTCCTCTGAGCTCTGTCTGAAGCCACAGGCTGGACTGTCCCTGTACTCTCATACTGTGCATCTCACATCATGAGTCCTCTCCCAAGAGAGATCCAAAGATAACAACGAGGGAGGCACAGAGCAACTGCGCTAAGGGGCAGCCCCAAACATGTGCAGAGAGAGAAGAGAATGAGATAACACAGACATTCCAAGCAGTCTTATTTTTCCATTGGCTGAGAAGGAACCGCTATGCCGCACTGCATGTTGCCAGGGTATTTTCAAAGACCTTAGACAACCTTCAGAGCATGCATGGTTGACAAGCCAGCTGCAGGAGTCCCACCAGGCCCCCTCTCTGCTCTCCACAGCCAGAGCAGCATCCCATGGGATGCTCAGGCTGTGCCCAGGCTCAGGGACCACAGCATGCCAGCCTGCATATCAACACAGTCATCTTACGGAGGTGATTAATAGGAAGCTATAGCATTACTGAGCCTGTTGCATTTATTAGATACATGTGGCTATTCTAGTCACTATTACTACAGCCTCATGACCCAGCCCCTCAGCGGGTTGGAGACCTCCAGCACTCCCAGCCCCAAAAACTCACCTTGTGCTGTCAGAGGGGAACATGCTGGAGCGCCCCCTGTACCGCACACACCCCCTGTCCTCTGCAAAACGGCCACCCAAATGCACTCTTCCTGGGATGGGGGCTCCTTGCAGCCAGGGCCCTATGGCTCAGCCTCTGTGGCCCCCCAAAGCCCCCCACAGCCGAGCCTCACTCGCTGGGTCCCGTAAAAAACAACGGGAGAGAGGCTGCAAAGCATCCTGTGGCCATCGGACCATGTGGACCACTACAGTACCCTGCGGGCGCTGAGCCAACACAGTCCTGACACGGCAGCAGCACGTGGCAGGATCCTGCTGGCCCCTTGCCGCCGGCAGCGAGGGCCCCGCACCCCTTCGCAGGCCGGGATGTGGGCCTGGGGAAGCTGCAGTGTAGGAGCCTAAGGGATGCCGCCATCTTGGGGGCACCCCGGGGCAGCTGCTGCAGGTCCCACAGGGGGAAAGCGAGGCGCCCGTGCCCCTGCGGATGCTCCCGGTGGGCGCGGGGATGGAGCCGCTGCGGGGAAGCAGGGGCAGCCCCCGGGCCGAACCCAGGCCCCAGCGCCCTCCCGCCGCTCCACACCGGAGCCCCGCGGAGCAACCCCCGCAGCACGGCCCGCGGGGGGCGGAGCCAATGGGACCGCGCGTCCCGCCCTCCCCGGCGGCTTCGGGCCAATGGCGAGGGGCGGGGCGGGGCCCTCCCGCGGCAGTCGGCGCTGAGGCGCGGGGTGGTGCGGGCGGGTTTTGTCGCGGTGCTGCGGCCGCTGCCGCTGCTTTCCGTTCCCTATGGAAGAAATGGAAGAGGAGCTGAAATGCCCGGTGTGCGGCTCCTTTTACCGGGAGCCCATCATCCTGCCCTGCTCGCACAACCTGTGCCAGGCTTGCGCCCGCAACATCTTGGTACAGACACCGGAGTCGGAGTCTCCGCAGAGCCGTCGCGCCTCGGGCTCGGCCGTCTCCGACTATGACTACCTGGACCTGGATAAGATGAGCCTGTACAGCGAGGCGGACAGCGGCTATGGCTCCTACGGCGGCTTCGCCAGCGCTCCCACCACCCCTTGCCAGAAGTCCCCCAACGGAGTCCGCGTCTTCCCGCCGACCGCCCCGCCGCCCCCCGCCGCCCTGGCGCCGCCGCCGCCGCCGCGGAACGCCTGCCTCACCTGCCCGCAGTGCCACCGCAGCCTGGTGCTGGACGAGCGCGGGCTGCGGGGCTTCCCCCGCAACCGGCTGCTGGAGGGCGTCATCGACCGCTACCAGCAGGGCAGGGCGGCGGCTCTGCGCTGCCAGCTCTGCGAGAAGGCGCCCAAGGAGGCGGCCGTCATGTGCGAGCAGTGCGACGTCTTCTACTGCGATCCCTGCCGCCTGCGGTGCCACCCGCCGCGGGGCCCGCTGGCCAAGCACCGCCTGGTCCCCCCGGCACAGGGTCGCGTCAGCCGCCGCCTCAGCCCCCGCAAGATCTCCACCTGCACCGACCATGAGCTGGAGAACCACAGCATGTACTGCGTGCAGTGCAAGAGCCCCGTCTGCTACCAGTGCCTGGAGGAGGGCAAGCATTCCAGCCACGAAGTCAAGGCCCTGGGCGCCATGTGGAAGCTCCACAAGGTGAGCTCCGTGGTGGCTTGCACCAGCAGCCCTGGCTGAGCCCCGCGGTGGGTAGATGGCTATGGAGGGTTGTTCGTCCAGCACATCTTGCCCCACGTGTTCTACCTTCCCCATGGCTGGCAGGGTTGGAGCATTGCCACCCATCCTCTCCCACACCAGGGCTGCATTTTGCATCCCTGCTTGAGAGGGAAGTTGCTCCCCAGCACAGGGAGGCTGTCAGATGATGCTCCTGTTGGTCCCTAAATCATACCGTGCTGGTGGGTGCCCACAAGCCAAGGCTCTGCCAAAGGAACTGGCAGGGTCAACGGTTGATGGTCTGAGGTGGATCAGGGACATCAGTGCTGCAGAGCTGGGGAAATGACATGGAGGGGTGCTTGTGTGAGGAGGGAGGCATGAAATCCACTACAGGGGAGGACAGGGATGTGGGAGTGAGGCACCATGGGGTGCTGCTGAGGAAGGGCTGCTGCCTCCTCCCGCACACCGAGTCATTGGGAGGAGGAGGGATGTGAGCGGGCAGTGCGGTGGCAGAGCCTTTCACTGAATACTGATCAGCTCCTCTTGAGCATACTCACTCCCACACACGTCCTCGCTGGAAGAGAAGGTCCTGTCGCTTGAGGCATCATTAGCTTCAGCTTGACTCCATCCACCTCACTGTCTCTCTTCCTCCTTGTGCCAGTGACCCCTTCACCGAAGGAACTGGGGCAGAAGTGATTGGGATGCAGGCAGACAGGAAGCAAGGGGATAGGCATCACTCCTTGGATGAACATTGAAATAACTGTCCTCTGCTCCAGCAAATCTGTGCAGGCAAGAGCAGGTGGAGGGACCTGTGACAACTTGTTGGGGAGGTGCATGACATTCCTGTCAAAAGGGGCTTGACTGGATCACTTTCCAGGATTGTTCTTGTTGTGCTGTGCACAGTCTGTGTGGCTCCATGGAGCATGTAAACTGCTGGGCTGCAGCTCTGTGTTCTGTGTCGGGTCTTCAGGTACATGCGGGCTCAGGCCATCACTTGTAATGATGCCCCTTGAGAGGGCTGGGAGGAGAGGGTAACCATGTTACATGGCACAGTGGGAGGAAAGAGTATGGTGGTGCCTGTTGCTGCTGAAAAGGGCTTGTCCTGACCCCCTCCTTAGTGCCTCCTCCCCAGCTTTCCAGTGCTCTTACAAAGATGAAGCCCGTGTACTGGAGCAGTTTTGGTGCCCCATGCCCTTGTCCTTACACGAGATACAGTCACTGCTCCCAGAGTTGGCAGCAGATAGGACCCCTGGTGGGAGTACCCAGCGGATATTGGTCCACCACAGCACAGGTAGTTGCTGACCTGCTCACAGGAGCACAGGGGCTCTCCACCAGCAAGTTAGCATGGCATGAGCCATCAGATTCTGGGAGCATCTTGTTTCTCTTGCCTGTTATGAAACCCAGTAAGGGCTTGCTGTGCGAGAGCAGCCTGTTTTCCAGAGCCTGGTCCTACTGGCCCAGCTCTTCATGGAGGATGAATGTGTTCAGTCTGTGCTGACACAGAGCAGGAGTAGAGCTGGATCCAGCCTTTGGTGTTCTCCAAAACAAGGGAAATCTAATGAGTACTAGGCCTTTTCATAAGGTTTTGGCTTCACTTTCCTGCTTTGATTCACGTGCAGTAAGACATATGAACATCTGGACAACTTCATATGCAAGTACTCAGATACGTCAGGTTCAGTCTTTGGGTTCTTGATTAGGCTTATTCTTCCTTGAATGCTTAGCTTTGCTTCCAAAGCACCTTTTCATGGGGGAGAGCTTTAGCCATGTATTTCATTAATGTAGCTATCACACATGGAACTGTAATGTTGCTTGAAATGATGGTATTCATGCAATTTGTCACAGATATTTGGAAATCGGGAAGTGAAGTCACACCTGCCTTGAGGGAGCCTGTGTTTCTGAAGGGGTTTACTTGCTGCTGCCTGATGTTTGCTTGTTAGGGGAGGAAGAGAGAGTCTGTTGAGTCAAGTGTGGCAGTATGATATAATTGAAGAAGTGATTTCATGGCCAGAGCTCAGAATGCTCCCTCAGATGCCGAATAACAAAGCCAAGGGGAGAGGCTGTTGACATCTCAAGCCAGTCCCGGTTGGGGCATTAGGAACCAAACCACCTGTGGATTTGAGCAGTGAACCTCTTGCAAAAGTATCTGTGTGTCATTTTTTGAGGGACCAGGCCTTGAGCAGCAAGACAAATGTGCCGAAATGGTGACTGTCCCTTTTTGCCTGATCTTTTTGCTGTGATGAGTTGTTGTAGTGTGTACGTGCTCACGAGAAAGGACAGAGTCATCAGGTCTTGAATTCTCTTCTGCGATTACACCACCTCTCAGTGCAAAATACTCTTTGGGATATGTCTGTGCCCTTAATTTCTGACCCAGGGAGACTGTGATTCTCGCTGCAGCCTATGATGACCCCAGAGCGCCTTGATGAGTTGTTCTTGAAAGCAGCATTCATGCATCAGTACATGATTGCAGGGCCCTGGGCAATTGCTGTTAAGTGCAGCGTGCTTCATTTTGGAAAGGAGACCAAAGGGCTTTTTGCAGACCTCCTCAGGAACTGTCCCAGTTTTTGCTTTCCTTTGACAGGGTGCTGATTGTGTGGCTCTCGCAGATGATCATTTCAAAATAATCTGTGCTAAGGCACAATCAAGCATTATTCAGGGAGCTGGGGTTTCTGAGCCGAACGCAGATTGTGGGAAATCCTCCCACTTCCTCTCTTCCTTTCAGGACAGTTGTTGGGAGGGGGGAAGTATTCAGAGAAACACAGAGGAAAATGGGGTTTTAATCTGAATTGTCCCAGTTTTGTACATATATTGCAGCTGTCTGGATTTTATCCTGACAAGCTGGAGTCCTGTTTAGTATGTCAAAAGCAGAAACACAAGATGGAGCTGAATCGTTTATTCTTGGAGCATTCAAATCCCTCCTGCTTTTGCTGAGAAGTGTGTGGTGAGTGCAGGCCGAGTAGCTTGCTAATGTTTTTCTATAGATAGATAGGTAGATAGATGCATACATACCAATATAGACAGACTGAAAGGGACCTCCAGGATCATGCAGTGCCATTGCCAGCTATCTCTGACAGCCGTGAAATCCCATCAGTTGATCAAATGCTGTCTTAAAAGGATTTTACTCTTGCTGATGCTTGTTAGAAAGGTCTCCCAGAAGCTGATGGTTTCTGGTAGGAGCTTCTGAGCAGGTATGAAAGCTTCTGTGTTAGGCAATGGAGAGACAGTGATGTAGTGTAGTTATTCCTGCTTGTCTCTCAAAGGGTGTCGGGTTGTTGCCCAGTGCTGCAGCAATCTGCAGAGTCCCTGGTCTCTTCACCTCATGGCTGGACACCCTCCCTGGGGTGGCTCGTGCCTGCCAGAGGCTGCTTTTTTGTTTGAGATCAGTATCTCAACTGCAGCAAACATGAACCTGGGTTCACCATGTGCAGAAATAAGATGAAGAGCTCAGTGGCCACATGGTGAATGGTGATGGAAGCTTCTGCTCTCTTTTTGAGCAGTCGAGCAAGAAGCTTCCCTCTGCTCTGGGTGGGGATCATGGGGTTTGTTTACAGAAGCTTATGGACCTTTTTCCTCTTTTCTCCACTAGCATCTCTTTCACATTCCTTTTGCTTAAATCAAGGCCCTGGGGTAGGACTAATCTGCTTTTACCTTACCACTGAAAGGGGAGGAGGTTAGGCAGCCTGTCCAGTTGCTCTTTGTAGTGAAGCCAAAAGAGGTCTTGACTTTGGTGGAAGTTAAATTGTGCTCTCGGTTATACTTCTACATGGGATTTAACTGCCCAGGATGGGATTTCCTAGCTGAAGGCACAAACTGTCCTCACATTGCAGGTTCCTGAAGCGTCTCTGCAGATTGCAGTAGAGACCAGTGCTCTGAACTGAGGTTATGCACTGTGTTGAATCAGCTGTAATGATTGTTAGCAGAGAGGCTAATTAGCAGAGGTGTTATCTAGACCTCAGCTCATCCACACTGTCACTAGCACAGATAGGATGAGGGATGCTGGGACAGCTCTTCCTTTAAGAATCAAAAATCCTGTGTATAACAGACATGACTTTGTTCCAGTCAGTTTGCACATCTGGGGTGAACTAAGGGGTGGAAAACTCTACCAGTGCCTCTTAGTTTCTGCCCAGGGGACAACAGGCATCAGAGCCAAGATAGGTACAAGCAGACAGCATTATTCATTAGCTTGGCTGCACCTCTATGTTAGCTGCCAGAGAAACTTCTGTGGGAAGTCGCTTTCTTGAGGCATTGTGAACGTACTGCTGTTGGGTCCACGGGAATTCCTGTAGCCTTCAGTGCTTGGGGAAGTATCCGGGGAGTTACTGTATCATGAAGACCTGTTTGCATTTGCAAAGTAAAATATTTGCTGCCAAAACAGAAGCAGGGAGAATCCTTAATCTTTTCCTGTTGCAAGCCATGCTCTTTCCCAAGCTTTGGCTTGATGGAGTCCTGGATCCCACTGTCCTTGCTCCATCAGCTGTCCCTCCTGCCCTTCTCTAGCAATGCCAAACATCCTGATGGCTCCATTTTTCTGTGGCCAAAACCTGAGAGTGGCAAACAGGCTGAGATACTTTGAAGTCAGATAAAAGCAAAAAAGTGTCACTGAGGTCCATGGGTTTATAACAGCTTCTGTCTGCCTGGGATCCAGTGGTGATGCTGCCTTCTTGTTTGGATTTATTTAGAAAACAGCTGTCAGGTGGCTCTTTCCTCTGCACTTACTGCAGTTAATGAAGTAAGGAGCAACCACAAATACCATGCTAATCAAAGGTAATGCGGTACAGCAAGTTCTGTGAGGTGCCTTTGGAGCCTGTGTGGCACTTGAAGCCAGGAGATGTTCTCTTAGGTATTTGCAAATGGAAATTGGCCCAGGGCTGTATCAGAGCAGGTGTAAATCACTGCAGTTTCATCAGTTCAGGTGGAAAGTCTGAAACTCGACTGACCTCACAGGATGATGCTGTGTGGCACCGCCTGTGCTCAGGCTCTCCCAAAGG